TGGCACGCGTGCTGTGCGGCGCCCGCTACGGGAGGGTGAGTGACGGCGTGGCGCGGGGTACACAGACCTGGCATCGGGGGCCACCAGATGGGGCCGTGACTTACTTTTGTGCGGGGGGCAGTGAGGCCGGTCTGCCTCTCTAGGCGGGGGCTCCCGCCACCTCTGTGAGCTTCTTTCGCGGGACGAGTGTAACCCCCAAAGGCTGTCACCCCCAGTCCTGAAGCAAACCCTCTCTTTTAGTCCCGGCCTGGACAGACACCAGAGGAGGCGGCGGCTCTGGAGCCACCTGGGCGCGGGAGGTGTTCTTGTGGCTCCAGCCATTTAAACCTGCCTCCCCGCCCTGGGCCGCTGGCACACATGCGTCCCCCGCACCCCACCCCCCACCCCGGGCCCATCGCGTCCGGCTGCGCTCAGCTGTGGCCTCCATATGCCCCCACCGCTCGCCGATTGTGTGTCTAGTAAATGGCAGAAGGCTATTTTGAGATCAGAGCGACAGAGCCCGACCTGTTGGCGGTCAGGGCTGGCTGTCGCATTACCTTGTGCCAGTCACAGGAATATCAGGATACCCGTCAAAGGCAGGATCCCACCCTGGTCTTGGAATTGGGGAGCGGGGCAGGGGAGCGGCAGGAGGGGAGACAAACCTGTGAACCCACAATTACAATCCAGGGTGCTGCGGGAGCGCAGCTTGAAATGGGTAAGTAGAGGCACGGGAAAGAAGGTGGAAAGGGCTGTGCCTGGCCCGTACTAGGAACGCAGTACGTTTTTATGGAACCAATGAAAGAGCAGGTAATTTGTAGGTGGTTCCTCTCCTCCCCCTCTTGATTTTGTTCCAGCAGAAAGGCCAGCCAGGCAGATCTTGACACACTTGCCTGTTTCTCACTCCCGAAGGCCACCCTCACTGAGAAGCAGGAGGTTTATGTCAGAACCAAAACAGGGCATCCCTGGGGAGAGCAAACGGTGCAAGTGTTCTTGCTCTGGACTTGACTTCTTGACTCTTGACTCCTGGCGTGTCGCTGTGGGGGTGATGGCGCCTCTGTGTTTTAGGGGAGAGGAGCTCTGGATTTCATTAGTTTCTCATGACTCTAGGATCCCAGAGTGGTTAAGAACACCAGCTTAGCCCAGCTGGTGTGGCTCAGTGGTTGAGCAATGACCTATGAACCAGGAGGTCACAGTTCAATTCTCATCAGGGCACATACCCTGGTCACAGGCTCAATTCCCAGTGTGGGGCGTGCAGGAAGCAGCTGATCAATTATTTTCATCATTGATGTCTCTCTCTCCTCTCTTCCTCTCTGAAATCCATTTACAAATATCCTAATATATATATATAAAGAGCTAGGTACCGTCACAACCGAACGGGTGACTGGTTACCATGAAGTGCATGGAGCGCCTCTTGGTACCCCCTCCCCCGGCTCCCGAGCCGCTCACCATGAGGGGGGGCTGGTGGTGGGGTGGGACTGGGGCCTGTTGAGCAGCGGTGGCGGGCTACTTCGTGGGGTGGCTGTGAGCTTAGGGGAGCAGTCACCCGGGCGGCAGTGAGTTTCGCAAAGCAGTCACGGGGCGAGGGAGTTTCATGGAGCGTCCAGCAGCGAGCTTCGCGGGGCAGCAGCAAGCTTTGCAGAGCAGTTGCGGGGTTCGCGAAGCCATCAAGAGGCAGGGGGAGCCTCATGGAGCAGTCGAGGGGCCGCGAGCATCGCGGAGTGTCCTGGTGCAGGGAGCTTCACGTAGCGTCACAGGGCAGCAGAGGCCATGTGACGGAGGCCAGGCTAGGCCTAGAGACCCTAACTGCGCACAATTTTGTGCACGCTGAGCCTCTAGTCCAGGGGTCCTCAAACTACGGCCCGCGGGCCACATATAGCCCACCAAAAACATTTATCCGGCCCTCTGGGTGTTTTTGAACTATAGTCCGGCGGTCTGAGGGACAGTGAACTGGCCCCCTGTGTAAAAAGTTTGAGGACCCCTGGCCTACACTATGTGAACAAGCAAGAATAGAGCCTGTGAGATGATCCAATTCG